TATCTTCATTGTCATGCTGAAAAAATGCCCAATAATGCAGGGAATGAGGGGAGGGTAGCATCTTCTGTTTCAAGTTTTTGTATTACATCACACAGTAGTGTGTGAATTCATGCCAGCATTGATAAAGTACAACTCCCTCACACCTACAGCAAGCTTACTACCACTGAACGTCACTGTAAATGAGTTTATTTTGCTTTGGCTACAGTAGGTAATTCTAGTGGTGACAACAACCATGCATGTCACTTCTGCAGGCTACATCTTACTCTGTGAGATAAAGTGTCACTCTTTTCATTAAGTCTGAGTATGATTCAGTGGGCTATATAACACTTTTACTTGTCAGGAAATTACTTGTCTTTAAAAGTTTTGGTTCAATATACTTACCTGTTGATCAAAAATAGCCTTAAACCTATACACTTTTTTTTTAGCTTTATTTAGTAACTTTCAGGAGGGTGTACTCATTTTTGCAACACAACATTGTATCACTTTGATAAGAAAATCTTATTTTGCTGAATAATTTTGGCATTCTTCTTTGGTAATTGATCAAGCAGGCTTGTTGGAACATTACATCTCCAAAGAACCCTAACATGTCTTCTAAGTAAAGAGTAATTGCTGAATTTGTTAAGTTTTAGAGGGGGTGTACTCATTTATGCTGTGCACTGTATATATATATATATATATATATACATACCTTGCTACGTGTACTGCGTTAGGCTAACCGAGACTTGTCATTTGCACTTATATATTGTTGCTCTTTTGTTAGTTTTGATTGCTTCTATTGTCCTCATTTGTAAGTCGCTTTGGATAAAAGTGTCTGCTAAATAACTAAATGTAAATGTAAATGTAAACTGCAGAGAAGTGTGTGTTCACCAAAAGCTGTGTGTCATATTCTCTAGTTTAAGACTTTGAACAAACGCTGAGAGATATGGACCAGAACTGACAACAACTTGATATGTATTTTCAGTAACATGGTTAACAAGCCAAATATCTCAGCCAAATATGCTCTTTCTTTCCTTGAATTACAAATGATCTAATGAATCAGACCGCAGAAACCTAATCATGACTTAAAAATCACTGAATATATAGTGATAAAAATGGCAATAATAAAAGTATCTGTATACAAAAAAAAAATTTGTTTGCTGTTACATATACTATGGATTACTACAAATAAATAGCTACACTTTTTAAGGACGGACTTTTAAAAAATCCAACACTGCCATCTAGCGGTTAGTAAAAGCACATCTCTAAATAAAGAATAAGTTCATATCAAGCCAAAGCGAACAGTCTTTTCCAAACATTTTCCAGTCATCTCCATATAAAGACATTAAACAACTGTACGTCATCTTAGCATATCAATAATAGCCTTATTTACAGCCTTATGTCTGTGATTGGCTACAATGCTCAACGCTGCAAAAACACGTTGTAAATTGAAACCTATGACCAGATATGAAAAGCCGCGCCATGCAGGTTGACGGGATTGGTTTAAGTGTTTGTGACGATTGTGACGAAATACAATTGAAACTGTACACTAATAAAATCTCTCTTTTTGCAATTATATACATACATAACTACTAACATCGCATATCTATATTTTTAATACTTTAGTTTCACCTGATGTTAAACTTGTGGTGCATCAAAAAATTAACCAACATATCATTGATAACCAGCAGGTGGCACTACTGACATAAAACATAAAACATAAGACTTGTGATTTTGTTACTGTTTGTTTATTTAAGTGGCTTTAAAGAATATTTCATGTATTTGCAGTCACGTGGAGTTTAGAAAATGAATATAAGGAAAATGCACAAATGTACACTACCTTTAAAAAATTTGAGTCTGTAATATTTTATGTTTATGTTATTGAAAGAACAGTTATACAATGAAATATTATTACAACCTAAAATACCTGTTTTCTTTTTTTAATTTACTTTAAAATGTAGTTTATTTCTGTGATGGTAAAACTGAATTTTCAGCATCATTACTCCAGTCTTCAGTGTCACATAATCCTTCAGAAATCATTCTAATATTCTTATTTGGTGCTCAAGAAACATTTATTATTATTAATTTTGAAAACAGTAGTTGTGTGAAAGCATTGTGACTGTATAACGATACTCACGAATAAAAGATGTTGAATCCTGTAAGATTGTAGGCAGCATCACTGAAAAAGTGTAACAATGCGTATCCAGATGTGGTCACCACCTCAGGAATGGTTTCATTTCCTTTTGTTTCTGGGACAACCAGGCCACTGGACATGCCAGATTATGACACACAAATCAGACAGGAAAGACTTCCTTCCTTTGTGTTCACATGTTCCACTCAGCATGAGGACAGCTGTTGCTAAGCAAGCAGCATCAGGAGCAAGATAAATCTCTACTGCATGCACTTGACTGTCCAATATTCTACTAATAAGGAAGAGAATAAGCTCACATTCAGTGCTTCAGCACAACAAAGTGGACAACCACAGAGATGCAATGGACCAGACTCTGCACACCAACACACAAACACACTCACTAAAGTACCCAGCAAGTCGTCTGAAAACAAGGTCTATCCCATTAAAAAGGCATAAGAGATAACACTTAAGAGGAGGAAGAAAAAAGAGACAGAGAAAGGAGAGAGAAAATAGAGTGAAGCAAAACAGACTGCTTTCACTATTAATGTGACTGTAACTTGATGTTCTTGAGGAATGCTTGCTACTGGTCATTTTGATTGAAAGTGTGACATTTTTTCTTGCAAGCTAATGGAAAACAAGCAAACAAGCAAAGGTCATTGTGTAACCTGGAGCATCATAAATTAGCTAGTGTAACAGTGCCACCCACTTTTTCAACAACCTTGGTTCTGGAAGTATTTTGCCTATTCATTTTTCCCATACAGGGAGTCTAAAAAAGTCTTTGTTAAAGCGTTATGAACCATGAACCAAACCAGCCAGCTACGAGGTGAATCACAACATTACAAATTTTATGCTGTGAAAATGTATTTGAAAACTGGACAAAAATACAAAGGTGCAAGAGGGAAAGAACTACAATCCCATTAAGTATTTAAAATTGCGCAAATTAAAATTATGGATAAAACTGTTGTAGTTTGTCACCAGTAATTCCATGGTTAAACATGATTATTTAAAAAATAAGTCAAAATAATATGGTCACAGAATAGTATCATTTTTCCACAAACTAAACTTGTTTTGCCTTCCTTATAAAAAATAATTATTTGTCATTTACTGTAGTCACAGACCATGTTTACCATGATTAAAGTTAAAGTTTACTGTTCATTTAATAGAACTAACCATAAGGAGTTGTTCAGTTTTATGAATTTGATGATTTTGTTATACTTTTGTTCATGAGATTATATGCACTGCCTTAGGCCAACAAAATGCGTTTCTGTTTAATATGAATTGACGTTTGCATCTGCTGTGTCAGTTTGTGTGTATTAATGACTTTGATTCCACTATCACTTACCTAAACACAGCTACCAAAGGTGCGTAAATTGAGTCTCCATCAAAGACATACATGTGATCCCAACTGCACTCTGTGGCAAAATGGTTGAACCTTAACCTGAGCACAGCATTTGGGCTAAAATAAAAAGCAGAAAATATATGATTTTTTAATAATTAATAATAAGACAAATGTATTTGAACCTAATATCCACTAATGTCACAGAAATAAATAAATAAAAAATGTTATTATAATTCTAATTTGTAAGTTGCTTTAAAAAAAATGGTAAATTATACATATAAATAACAAAGACTGTGAGATTAGCTTGACATAGTGGTTTTTTAAAAAAAAAAAAAAAAAAAAAAATCTTACCAGTAACTGAACAGTTGTGAAAGAGAACATTTACATTGTCAAAACATCTGACAGTTTTGGAGACACTGTATAGACATATGAACAATTACTTGCCCCTCACCTTGCCAGCTATCATTGCAGACGCAGAGCTTTTCTCCGGTGAGGTCACAGTATCCGCGGTCAGGACTGCCACAGTCATCCCAACAGTAGGGAATATCACAGGCCTCACCTTTCCAGTATCGCTCACACTCACAGTAAACACTGCTGGAGATGGAGTTGAATCAGCCAAGTGCATTTAGTCTTGTACTTGTAGTTAACTGGTCCATCAGTGAGTGATCCTGATGACTCTGTCAACCTGACAAAGAAAAATACAAAGATCAGTTGACATCTCAAAAGGGCCTTGATGGAACCGAAGTAAGAGAGAATATGGTAACGTTACAGAATATATGTGAATTCAGACATTTGTTCATTTGCTACTGCCAGGTTCACAAGGAGAATGTAAGACAGCAAAACCACATCATACATACTGAAATAAATAAATAAGTGTGTGTGTGTGTGTGTGTGTGTGCAAAAACAAGATAAACCCCTACATATTAAAAATATAATACAACAATAGATTAATAATATAAAAATTGTAATTTCTTCAAAATATGCAATTAGAATATGCAAAATCAAAATATAAAATCAGACAGTTAAAAAAGGTCACTGAATGCTTTAAAAACTCCTGTTTCCAAAAAGAAAGAAAAAATCATGCATCATATGATTTTGTATACATGTTAATAAAATGATCATCTATGCATTTTATCAACAGGTAATATTTCTCCTTCCACCAAATAGAGTTACAATTACTTTCACCTGGATATTAAATTATTAAAATAAAATGTACATAAATGTAAATGTATAAATATACAAAATAATATTTAAAGGAAAAGTGAACAATGACTTGCATTCAAGCATGTTTGAAACTGGATGAAGTGTGTGATATTAGGACTTGAGAAAACATTGGTAATGATTAAAAATGACTGACATTTGACATCTTGACTGCACAGCCTGCCCAGTAAAATCCTCTACAGCGTCCAATGTCACCATCGTGAAACGCCATTCACGTGCATCAACAAACTGGCCATGTGACACTGGCACAACCACCTGCTCCTGATTCATCCTCTTTCCCCTCATTTTCCATCCCTCATCCTCCAACACAGAAATGAGGGCCATAATCCCAACGGATTGAAGCAAAATATACTCATTTGTCTGACAGTGGAGGAGGGCCAAGACCAGAATGTTACAGCACAGTACAGAGCCAGTCACAGCAACTGCACTTCAATCAAGAGATCAGCTTATCTACAAAAAAACATGTTTATCACACAAACAGCACAAGAGGTGAAGATCACCAGCAGCAATGAGTCAGAATATAACATAATGAACAACTGGCACAACAAATCACTCAACCCTAAATGCAGTGGACACAATGTTTTCTTCAGTGATGAATTAAATGCAAACATTATGACTTCTGTTTTGAGAATTCTACAGTTGTGAATCACCCGCAACACTTGTTTTTCAGTACAGTAGCTTTTTCATAACCACTACCCATGATGAAACGCTCAAACTTTATTCAAAAACTCTAGGAAAATATTCTACTCTATGCACTGGTGTTTGCTGCACTTTCAACTTCAACATATACACAAAAAGATTCATTTTCATGTATTTTAATACTCAGGTTCCACAGAACTTGAATAACAATTTTTTCTACTATAGCTATGCATAATATCAATGCAAAAAGCCTGTCATCATGTCAGTCACACACACTGATCACACTGTGCTTGTGTTTAGACTGGGCCTGACTGTAGTAAAGCAGGAGCTCAACTGGAGGACAGAAAGTGATTTTAGGACGGGGCTGAGGGCTGAGGCAGATGACTAGAGATCTTCAGGGAGCATTTCGAAAGCATAACCGTCTGTATGGTATTTTGATGTCATACACCGATCGGTGTGCACACGCAAACAAAGCCAAAACCTAGATATTTTAGGCAATATAGAAATCCTGGCCAGGACGCGTCCTGGGAAAATGCCACGTATGGTCACCCTAGGCTAGCATAACATGGCACTATCAAAAACAGACAACAGACACTTCACTACAATAGTGAAGAAAAGGCATTTCCTGCTTGTTTTTGGAAAACAACAACTTAGAAGATATCTGTGTCTATTAAATTTTTTATGACTTAAATTGGTGAAAATGGATTTCACCATCAACATCAGAAAGACAAAGTTTTTGATTTCTCAATGTTCTGCATAACATGGAAAGAGGGATTACTGTGTAAAATAATATGGCATAGTTGATGATTACCTTGATTAACAGGCAAAAAGGTAATAAAGGACTAAAAGTTTTGTATAAACAGGCTAAATACACACTGGAAAAGGAGATCAGAGTGGCAAAGAGGAATTATTCTGAAAAACTAAGGACTTAGGTTCACTAAGTCACTTAGGGAACTAAGGTTCACTTCCAGCGACTCAGCATCAGTGTGGAAAAGTCTGAAAGAGATCACCAACTACAAGACACCATCCCCCAGCACTGTGGAGAATCAACAACTGGCAGACGATCTGAATGAGTTCTACTGCAGGTTTGAAAAAACACCCCACACCTGCCCTGAACAC